TTGGGAACTACAAACAGGTGGGAATACCCCCCCCCCCAGAACTGCATGGAGTAGGTTTGATAGCCTGTTGTGTGAGGTCTTGCTCCACCTCAGATAGATGTTGGCATAACAAGGAATCCCAAAGAGGAGGAAAGGAAACAGGCACATGGGGTAAGGAAAGAATGGTAAGAAAAGGTATGACAAATCTCTCTGACAAAACTCAGTGAACCCAAAAATCAGAGAGAAAAGGGCTCTACTGATGAATGAAGGTCGCCAGACAAGCTCCCATTGAACCCAAAACCACCAGATAGTCACCAGAACCATTGTTGGTGTACCATGCGTTGTCTTGAAAAATGACGAACAGTGGCAACAGGCAAGGGCTGGGAAGGGGAGAGTCAGAACACAGGAATTAGTGCCATGCTCAGCTCTGACTGGGACATATGGGCCACCAGATGAGAAAGGGTGGATTGTTGTTGGACTGACGCTACCCTCGATCCCTGGATCGTATCAAACACGAAACGTCTCAAAAACGGAGCCAGACAAAGGTCCCGTAGATAAAGAGCCAGGAGACGAGTCCGAGACAATATTGCATCATGACCCCAAAAGGTCTCAACAACAAATAAACAACGTTTGCAGGGCCAGAGCCAAAGATGACAGGCAGGCCAATGTGGAAGTGAGGAGGGAAGAGGACATCCCCAAAAAAACCCCTCAGGGTTCCTGTGAAGAGCCTCAGACAGGAGATTGCTTGAGGAGAGGTACCACAAAAAGAGTTGTCAGGGTAAGATAAAGGCAGGATTACTGGGCATTCGAAAGATGAATGGCAAAACTGAATGCAACATTTGTTTGGCCAGATGTGGACAGTCCACCTTATAATACTTGTGGGTGGACTGATCTGAAGCTCACTGAGGACAAGGCATACTAACACTGTCAACTAACTGGTAGGCAAAATGCTCAGTGTGAACACGAATATTAGGGGATGTGAGAAAACATTTTTGAAAATAAAGTGAGAATAGTTCTTTAAATAAAGAAATTAAGTTAAACCAATTCGAGAAGCAATGAACAAAAAGAAAAACGTCTGAACTTAAGCACTGCCAAACGAGAAGTGAGGGTTCAGTAGTGGCATATAGAGGGAATCAAATGCGTCACATGATAGTAGTGCTCTCCTCTTGGTGGAGAGATGATGCATGATGATTTGCATGAGAGACATGTTGGGATCTTTGATTCCATGCTTGTGGCATGAGTTATAAAAAATGTTTGCATATAGAGGGCAGTATAAATCGAGAAAAGCTAATTTTGTGAGTGAAGTACCATATCAGAAGTATAGAAATTACCTTCATCAAAAACAACAGTTACATGTACATACTATTGATTCTACTTTGGCTCACAGAATGATATTTTACCCAAGATTAAGTTTAGTGAAAAAACTATATGCATATTTACAGTTGGAAGAGTGAAAACTAGGAACTATCTGATCTTTTTCTTTTAAACTATGTATACATAATTGTTTAATAGACTAAAACACGCTATTTTGTCAGGTGAGAGCAAGAATCAAAGACTAAAAATGATTAAAGTAATGTTTCCATTATGATAAAATGATATTATGAAAGGCAAAATAACTTGAAATGATTTTAGAATTTAACACACAATTTAAGTTGAACAAATGATATTTGTACATAAACTATAACACAAATTTAATAACTCAGAACACTAGCAAATGATCTAAACACTTCTGTTAGTTTTATTATTTTTGTGACATTTATTTGCTACAGTATGCTTATTGACATGCCATACAACATGATAATGTGCAAACAAGACTGTGAAGTGCCATGAACATTCAACAAGGTTTTCAGGGAAATAATTTCCCTAGTCTACTAATTTGAAATTGGTTAAATGTAAACAAACTGGTTGTCTAATAATAAGTATATCTACACAGTTCTATACTTTGAGCTTATAAATTGTAATTGTTTCTGCATAAGGCCTTCAGTTAGTTGACTTTATACTTTACGATCCAATGAACCTCATTAAAATATTGCTTTTGTACAGTAGTGATTCATTGTGTATTTTCTCACTATGAATAAAATAAGTTTTATTTTCAATAATAAATGGACAACATTTATAAAATTGCCTTGTTGTAGTTTACTGACTCTTGGAGAACTACAGACACAAATTCAAAAGCATTTCAGCCAATCACAAAGTGAAGAATCAGAACATAAAAATGTAACCTTAAATCAGAGTTATTTGTATAAAGTATTTTTGATTGGAAACTCCTGTCAACTGCATCTGCCTCAGAAGTTTTAGATGACCTTAACGACCTATATACTGTTATTTGGCTTCATACTCTAGACACAATACAGAATTTTCCTAAACATCTTCATCAGCTCAAATCTCTTGCTCAAAATATACAGTTCAATGTGCAGAAAATGGTTCCTTTTCCTTTGGAAACATCTTCTTTCACCAATATGAATATCACCTCACTACACTGTTCTACAAGAAACACCTACTCACACCAATAGATATCTACATTTCAAATCTAATCCCATTCATACTCCATTACAAAAATTATTATAAAATGCCTTTTTTTTTTTTATCAAACTATCAAAATCTTTTGCTGAAAACAAATTAAAAATAAAATAAAATAATGCCTCTAAAAGTCTTTCAAACTAATGGCTATCTCAACAGCTTCATTCAATCCAATAGAAAAATTAATCCTCTCATTCCTCCAATAAAAGCCCTAACCACCATCATTCTGAAACTAATTTACAAACTGAAAAGGTTATGCAAAAAGTTCAACATCCAAGTGCACTTCAAAACTGACAAAACTTAAGAAACATGCTTACCAAAACAAAAACCAGACAAGTGAAGAAAAAAAAAAGATTAACATTATTTTAAAAATTTCATGCTCTTGAGGTGTAGTGTATATTGGAGAGATCAACAAGAAACAATAAACAAAAAATAAAGGAACATTAATATGCCACCCGAATTCTTTATCTAGGAAAATCAGACCTAGTAGAACACAACTGCAACATTGGACATATTATCAGTTGGAACCAATGACAAATGCATGACTGCACAACACTGGAAAAACATGAAACTTAAAGAAGTTTTTTTTACATAAAATCCATCAGCTATCCCTGAACTGCAATCATGACTCCTTTCCTTTACAACAACAAAAAAAAGAGAAGTATCAAACTATATGTCCACACAGCTCAAACTCCAATTATGTTCTTATGATGCCATTCCTCTTATCCAAATATCAGAGTTCTTTACTCCATCTCTGTTCTTTAACATTTCAATCCTCCATGCTTACAACTCAACTTTTTCTTACAAATTACAGGGTCCCCCCCCCCAGCTCTCAATCACAAACATGTTTCACCCGCACAACTTAACCAATTCACCTGATAATGATCTCTGCCAGCAATTTGAAACATCATCCAAAACTTCTATGACAGATATAATTCACTTTAGTTTCCAGTCACATACATTCTTCTCCACCTAAAATGATGAGTTATGTGAAGATAATAACTTAATATGGCACACTAATTGTGTAATTTCTGTAAATATTGATGCCATATACAATAATAAACTATTAAGTTTACCGTGCATAGTTGATTTTTGTTTACCAGTTTCATGCTACCCTAACTAGTTTGCACCCATACATTTACCGATTCATAATGCATGTTGTTAAGAGCGTTACTGTATTAAAAGTAACTGATTCGATTATCCGGAAGTCTTGATAATATGGAAGAAATAGTTCCTTACAAATGTGTTCTGATTATTATGGTTCTACTGTATATCTATATATTATATCTAATGTACGACCTTAGAAATATTTTAAGCTACTCAGAATGTTCTGATCACACATACATACTTCCCCGTATCTTTTTCTTCTCTCGAGATTCATTTAGGTAAAAATCACATTTTAAAATATACAATATAGAGAAAAGTTTTCGTTTTGAGAAGTTTATAAATTTGAATACCTACTACAATAAAAAACAAATTACATATATTTTCCTTTTGTCACTAGGATATTTTAGCAATTCTCTATGAAATCCAAATACAAACAAATTAGAGATGGAATGAAATCAACGAGATTGTGAAACTTTACATATTACATCACGGATTGTCATAGATTTAATACGTTCAAGTACTAACAAAATTATAAGACATTTTTTCTTTAAATATGACTTTCATATCTAAACACTTACCCATGATCATACAAAGAACAATAAGGCACAGAGAGATGTCTAAGAAAATTCCAGACTTCATTGTATCTCCAGTTCAGCAGGGGTAGAACACGAACGACACGAGGCCAGTCTGGATCAGTCAAACAGAAGTAGTCCATAGTGTCTAGAAAAAAAACAACACTCTAGTAGAGTTGTAGCTTACTTTAGTCATACTGAAGACACCATTGGGGTATACCCAAATTCTCATTAACACACAAAAATGTATCTTATTATCTGGACAAGCAAATACAAACAAGATAATATTAAACTCCCAATTTTGTATTTATCTTGTTTGCTGGATATTTTTATGCTCAACTATGAGCAAAGGATTACTTGATATGGTAGCTAACCTTATACATTGTAATGATAATAAACATAGCTAGAAGCTAACTGATACGATAGTAGAGGTTTTAAAATGTTGTTTGAACTGAATATTTACTGTTTAAGGTGCTTTTTGCCTGAATGTTCTATTAGAGTTTTGTACAATTCCTTGTGATCCCTATTATGAACCACTATAGTGGCTCATGGTAATAACACCTGTAATACAATAATTCCTGAAAAATTATAATAAATATAATTTATTTTGTGAAAAACAATTAGTTTTTTCAGAGTGCACCTTTAATGAGGAATTGGATGATATAAAATCTTTAAAAAAAGCTGTTCATGTAAAAATTGTAACATATGAGAAACCAGATTTTAATCAAATTGAAAACAGCTTTCATCATAGATACAGCTTTTAACTAAAATCCAAGAATCTCAATAACACTTCATATTTTTTACAGTGCAAACTTTCTAGTTTTAAGTAAGACTTGTTATTCCTGACCATTCTCTGAATAATATATTATAGAATTGTTATTCTAACTTTCACTGGATAAACAACATTAATCTAATTCAAGTTTCTGAACACTGTAGAAACACCATCCTCTTAGAAACACCAACAACCAGTAATAATTATCTAGATTGATGCATTGAGATTCATTAATACATCAGACTTTAGGAAAACTTTAAGCTTGAATTATTATAAGAGAAATATAATTGTTACCTCCTCCTGGATCAGAACGTCTTGTTCCCATAAACATTGCACGAATATTTGGTCTTTCCATAACCATGTATTGTAGTTCTGTTCTCATCTGACCATCAAGGATCAACAAGTCTAAGTTATACCTTTCAAATAAAACACATTTTTAGTTTCTAAAATAGACATTAGAATTATTCAAAAACCTGAAATGATCTTCTTACAAGCAGTAAAATCAGGGTTATAGCAAAGACCTAGATGCAATTATTATAATATATATATATATATATGTATAAAAGAAATAAACAGGGTTAATTTTCAACTGCCATTAACCCTTTCACAACAGGCGGATGTGTCTTACATCCACTCGACTGGGGAAGGACATTTATGCAACAATACACACAGTACTCCGAGATATCCTCACAAAACCTAGAAATACTTTGTTAAAAGTTCTTAAGTATCTTGCACACATAGAATGACATTATTTTAATTATGATTTTCTAATATAAATGTTATTTATCTATAGTAGTTATTTACTCTCAAAATATCAATAGTTCGAGTGCAAGGTGATTTTAATTTTAAGTATAAAAATACTTTATCTTCTAGTTTTAATATTTCAGTTGCATAATCTACAAAACCTCCGAAATGAATCTCAAAAGGTTTTTAAAGGTAAATGTTTATATTTCATTTTATATTTTCTCTCTACCATATTGCTAACTCTAGCTATTATCATCAATGTACAATGCAATGAAATGATTAAAATTAGGAATAGAAATAAAAAGTACATATCTTTTAATTTTTTGTAGAATACAATTAATGATCTTCCTTTTGTTGTGTTTGTTTTTCGGGTCTTTTAATATTTTATTTTCCTTTCTTGTCCTTTTTTTTATTCATCTTGACACCAGTCAACAGTGCTCTTGGGCATATTACAGTATCTCTGCCAGAGATGCACACCCCTTTGGCAGAATTTTCGTCCACCCCATAATAATGTAAGCCTTGAGAACTGATGCAAAGTGTGATGTATATTTTTAAAATGTTTAAACCTTTCAATTATGTACTTTAAAACATACATAATACATAATTAACTAAAAATATAAAAGTAAGACCTAAATACAATATTAACTGTATCTCTAACCATAACATATTTAGATAAGAAACAACCAAAAGTACTATAAGTGCTATAGTTGATCACGCAGCTAATAATACTACAGACAGTTACATGTACCCCATGTCAAAAACTGCGTGCGATTTTCAAAATAACCACTGTCGGATTATAGTGTTAAATGACCTCTTCCTAATGAGGCTATAAAGCTCAGACAAATCTATTGAAGGTAGGTGTGGGAAGAGTCAGGGGTTGAAAAAATGTATTACTTGTTTCAACTGCATTCATCCAGAAAACTTTTAAATGTTTGTGTCAAGAGTTTAAGTAAATGTCTTATTGTCTAGCATTACATCTACACAGCTGGCATTATATTATTGAAGATACAGAGTGCCAAAGTCGAGAATTTTCAAGGTTCATGAGTCATGTGACAATACATCAAAAGTTTTAAGTAATTTTTGAAAGGTTTCTTTATGAAATATTAAACTTAAAACTCATAACATAAACCTTTGACTCCTAACATACATTATAATGTTAATTTCATTCACATACAATGATAGCAAAAATGTTTAATTAAATTTTAAATGTAACATAGTGACTAGTGCAGAAAAGTGTTAAGTGTTTAAAGTGTACAAATCTTAAAAGACAAATATATTTTTACACTTAAAAGTTCCATGTAAAAGTATTCTGTCAATAAATACTGAAAAAAGTTTTGAAACCTTAGTAAAAACACACTGGCAGTAATGCCACCATACAAGCAGCTGTTTGTGCTAGTAATTATTAATCATAGTGTTCATAACTCGTTTCAAAAAATTTAGAAAAAGTGTTCAGATTGTGCTCTTTAGTCATATGCATCTCACTGCATCAAAGTGATTCAATGTATAGATTTCAAAATTTTCATAAATTTTATTGATATAAACTGTAATGTTTTTATGTATTAAAAGTGGTACCATTTATTGAGAAAAATATTAGTTTTTCTAATAACTCCAGTTTCTCAGTACTACACTTAAAAATTACATCAATAGAAATATAATCAAACCCTCACGTACAGTCCTAGTGATAGTTGTGTACTTGTTGCAAAGAGAGAACTTTTAGTTAAAATTGTGTTCTGTTAAAAAGGAATGCACATACCACAGTTATTTTTCTAATTGTCTGAATCTTAAATACCCAAAGCATGAAATCTGCTATGGATTTTTGTTTCTGGTGCCATTCAATAGATGGCACAGGAGTTTTGGTTGCATACATAGATACTGACATACACACTACATCCATTACAGTAAGATATATAATATATTATGACTGTATGAAGGAGATGATCTTTTTAACATATACCATGTGAGCATGTTTTACCTGTTAATTGTGATATTATATTTACCAGATATCTACCTAAAGGGTGACATGGTGAACCTCTGCAGTTATCTATGGAATGGAGAGGGTAGCTTTGTTTGTGGGGTGGAGCTGTGGTGTGCTATTAGTTGTGCAACTGTTTCTGTTCCAAGTTCTTTTTGCTGGTTTTTGAGAAGCTTGTTAATTTTTTCTCTGTTTTTATCAGTTGGGCTAGACTTGATTTTCATAAAGTGTCCATCTTCAACAAGACTTTTGAGCTTTAAGGATATAAGCCGCATTAGAAAAAGAAAGACAAAACAAACCTTCCACATCCATGTAACTGATAACACAGTCAAGTCCAGCACAGAAGTCAACAAAACAGTTAGTTGATTCAAGTTCTAAACAGGGAAACCTCAGTTGAGTTATTAACACACCAGACTTTCTATCAGGAAGAACCCAAATCAAATCCCACTACTAACAACACAGAAATAGCCCTTTTTTTTAAGATTTCCCTAAACACAGCAGCAGATTAGCAGCCAAAACGTATGATAAAAGTTAACATTTTCTTACACTGAAAATGTATTTCCGATACCTACTTACCTCTTCTAACCCAAAGCTATCTTGATCCTGGTTTACCCTTCAAGCATTGCTAACAGTACAGCAGTGTTTTATATCCCTTCATTTTTGCACCATTTCAGAACATGTGACTACCCTCCACTAATCATATTGTACCATCTATACTAGTGCAGCTAGCTTCCTCTACTATTCTACCACAATCCTCACTTTCCAGAATTGGCAGGTGCAAACTAGAAACACCAGTGTATCAGTGGGGAAGAAGGGTGGGAAGTGGGTGAGATGGGGGTAAGTACCTATTAGAGGTGCATTTTCAGTGTAAGAAAATGTTTTCTTCTGAAATGGTACTACCTCCTCTCACGCAAAGCTAGAATCCCACATTGCAAAGGTGGAGTGGCCAGTGAAGGTGCAACAGTATTCAATCAAGTGGAGAGCTACTGTCTTGATAGAATAGGTGTGCCATAACAAGTAAAGAAGCCATACCTGTGGGGTATAGCACTACTTCTGGAACAGGTATGCTCTTTGCTCAGTAATAAACATAATAATAGATATAGAGTGGAATGTAATAGGCAGGCACCATAACCTCAATAAAGAGATGTACAGCACTGTTCGTTGGAAAAGTGTTTTATAACTATGATGCGAAACAGCACAGCATGGACAAAAACGAAACGTCTAGATTATAATTGACAATTGGCCCGAATAAATAGGTGCCAAGGGTAGAGTCTTGGGGCACATTGGAGAAAATCAATTGCTGTCCAACTGAGCAAAACATCCAATAGCAGCGCCTTGCATAAGTTTGTAAGATCAACAAGTGTAGTCTGCCTGGGCAAAAATCATCCAGGAAAACAACCTTCAATTGAATGTGATAAAACAGAATGAGCTTGAATCCCACAGATGCATTGAAAATAGATGAAAGGGAACCCACAATCTAGATGCAAGAATACAAGTTAACACCTTTGCCACAAGGAGATCAAATTGCATGTCACGACATTTTTATATAATCATAATCAAAATTTATTTATACTATTTTATTATCATTGTATATGAATAAATTTGGCATCAAAACATTTTTAATACAAGTTTTAATTTCTTAAAAATATTTCTTTATAATTTTAAATCAAATCCTCAACATCCCATAGTATGAGAATTGTGACATTTGTTTTCTAGGTTTTCCCTCTTCTGTAATATATTTATCATCCCTCTGAGAAGTATATAAATATTACTCAGGGGTCATGAACTCGATCAGTTTGGCCAAGCTCATAGTGAGAAAGTTAAATTCCAATCATTTTTTTAAATTGAATCACATAACATATTTTACAATGGATCATCAATTCAAACAGACAGATATTTCTATGTGAAATAGTGTAGAATTTTATAATAAAAAAAACTGATATTATTCGTTATTCGGTAAGTTATTACACATATATGAAATGATTAAAAGAAAAGTTCGATTTCAGTTTAAGAAGCAGTTGTAAATACAGTACCTAACTTTATTTCTTAGATACACAGTTTTTAACAGTATTACTACACTAGCTATAAAAAAAAATAATTTCTTGTATTTTGTAGTTACTATACATGTTTCTTTGTAACCAAGGTACTTCACTATCTAAAAATTTTCAAACAATTATTTACTTTTTAAAATTTACCACTGCATATAAGACATTTCTTATCAAGATATTCTAGCAGTAATTTAAGATATTATGCAAAACCAGTATTTAAACACACATATTGACAATGTGATAATTTGAATACCAAATTATCATGACATATCTATATAAGACCCCTCTTTTGCAAAAGTCTGAGGAGCTCAAGTTGAAGATACTTAAAAATTCAACACTTGTAAAGAAAAATCTAGGTTAAAAAAATCTTCAGACCTCTTTACAGACTCCTGAATAAACGATTCCACCTGAGGGAAAGGTATTCGATCCCTAATGTAAACAGCATGAAGCCTTTCTTCAGAATTAGGGTAGTGCCTAAAATATAAATATATAGACACATATTTATTAATGATTGAAAAACAAGTAATTGTAAACACTAACTGTAACACTATCAGCAATGTAGGGTAAAAATATTAAATAAATCTGAATTACCCCTTTTTTCTTTTTAGGCAATTACACACTATTTAATTGACTTTTCAAATCTGGTTTCATTTAGTTTTATTGCTTTACAGGTGCACTCAGACCCTTTCAGAGTATGCCAAAAGGCATTTACAACTAGACAGTTTTTTGTACACAAGTGATTGTGTTATGAGCACAACACTAATGAATTACACACATGGTTTGCATACTTATCCTTTTTATCCAATTTTTTTTATTTAAATCTTCTTCTCCTAATAAGTTCCTAATTTTACATTTTAGTTACTTGTATAATAATAAATGCAAAATGTACATGAAAAACAAAGAATATAGTGCTTACATGTCTGGATTTCTGTTTTTTTGGCCTTCAACATATGAAGCATTGTAGGCTTTCTTTTTTGTAATGACAAAATATTTTTAATGTTTATATCATATATGAAATTCATAACAGAAAACATTATCATGCACAAAATATGTAATGTCCTAAAACTAATATAATTAACTGGCTTTCTGACTAAGACACAAATAAGTAAAAATTCCATTAGCCACTTGGAGTTCGATGATAACAATTACACATAACCAATCTGAGGCAAACTGGTTCCAAATGTCTGCTAAAAAAATAAGTAACTTTATTATTGAAAAGAACAAAATTATCTTTCTATTGGTTATAAACATGTCTATAAAAGGACACATGGTATAGATAAAATCATTCAAAGCTAAGGCAAGACGGTTGGTGTCACAAATTTATTTACGTCTCTCTTATTCCAGAAGATGGGAGGTTTAAATTTTATAATTTAACTTGCAGTATATATATATAGTTTGGGTTTCTGATTGGTCATCCTCTCTGATAGCCTTAGAAGGGAATGGAGGAAACTGAAAATAAAATAATCAGATGAGTGATGCACCAACCGACACACAGAAGATTAAGAATTTATTTAAATATTTCCTTTTGAAATTAAAAAATTAAAATTGGGACATAATATAAAACTTTGAAATATAAACTGCATTTTTATGCCAATTTTACTGACATACATTGACACTAAAGTTGTTAACCTAAATTTTGAATGTAACTCTGTAAAAAGGCTATGACATGCACATGTTGACCCCTACTACGGGGTTAACCAATATAATTGATTACCTATGAGCATTTATTACACTGATTAGTGCCACGTAAGATAACCAACTAATCAAACTTATTGTTTCTTATTATTACTGTTTTCCAGTCATTCTAGAACAAAAGAAAGGGTAATTAAGATTTATTTCCTAATTTTTATGATGGTTACAAGGTAGGTCAAATCGAATAACACCATATAGTTATAATAGAGAAAATAGCATACAAAATATAAAGTTTTACTACAAAAAAAAACATTTGAAATGTATTTATGAGATTTTATAGATCATGCAAATGAAATTTGAGATGTTTTAGATGAAGAGAAGTATTTTTAATCTTAAGAGGAAAATCACTTTGCACTCGCACTAGTAAAAGACAAATATATTCAAGGACAAGTCTTTTTTTAGTTTATTAAGTATACTTCACTAAAAATTCTGATTTTTTTGTATGTAAAAGATTTGTAATGTTTACTGAAAGTCTACCAAAGTTTGTGAACATACACAAATTATATTAAAAGTTAGTAGTATTAAAAGTGTAACAACTTTAAATTAGTACAAAGTGGTCACGTGGAAGGTCAAATCGACTGAGCTTGTGTGGAAAGAATCAAACTGCTTTATTATCAATGTATATGAATAAATATGGCATCGAAACATAGTTAATAATTAAAATTTTAGTACAAGTTTTGATTTCTTAATTTTAAAAAGAAATATTTAAATACGTTCTCAATCTCCCCTTATATGTGTATCATGACATCTGTTAGCTCTGACTTGCCCATCCTCTTATTTTTTCATTACCCCTCTATTACCATCCTGAGTTTAATGCAAGTTACTCATTATAATATAGATCTTACTAAGGCACAGTCTAATTTTTATAGCCTTCAATCTTCTTTTTCTACAGTGATATAAACTAGAAAATCAGACACAATTGTCATGTCCATCTATAACATCCTCTCTGTCATAAATTACCAAAAATTCTCTCTGACATTTGCTATTACACCAAGACAAACTTTTGATTTACTGAATGACGTATAATGCTACCTTGTTCTCAGTAGAGATTTTTAATTATTTTGCCTACAGATTGAAAGTTGCTATCACCAAATTCAAATCAAGCAGCTAATTATTTTGAGGCACTTGTGTCTTTGTTAGAAAGCAAGGTAAATTATAATAGTTATTATTTTGTATTCTTAAGTGCATACTTGAAATAAATAAAAATTATTTAATTCACTAGTACCATTATTACAAAAAAGTAGGATTAAGCATCAGTAGGCCAACAGTAAGAAACAAAAGTCCATATGTAAGTACCAAATTTTTCATTTTCTATGAATTTGTTTTTTATTTATTGTTATAAAAGTTATTAAAATAAAAATTAGACACTTATTAGGTTAGATTAATAAGATAATGAAACAAATAATAATAATAATAAAAAGTTCCCCGTGAGTTACATTTACGAGTAGCTTGTGCATTATATCATTCAATATAGGTAAATTGAGCTATGCATTTGCTGAGTGATGTATAGCTTTTATCACAGGATTATCAGTTGGACATGATTCAAAGTGCAATAAAATAATAAAATATAATAGAAACAGATGTAGACTGTTAGGATCCTTAAGCTATTTAGGATAAATAATTGCTGTTTTCTGTTACCATCTGTATTCATTCTAGAAAGAAAAATAAGGGTAATTTAGATGTATTTTGTATTTTCTTGTGATGGTTACAAGGTCAGTCAAAGTCAACTAAGTTAGGGTAGAGAAAATGAATTATGCAAATGAAATTTTAAAACTGTAAGATGACAAAAAGTATTTTTAATCTTAACATTAAAATCACCTTGCACTCATACTAGTCTACATTCTGACTCCATATAGCCATAGACAAATCTTTAGTAAAAATACTTAGTTACAAAATAGATTTTTTGTGTACAACAGACTTGTAATGTTTACTAAACGCTTGCCAAATTTCATGAAGATGAATGTACCACATTAAAAGTTATAGTATGGATACTTTAATGGTTTCATAGTGGTTACAAAGATAGTCAAAATAACTGAGTCCCTATAAGAGAGTTAAAAAAATTAGCTTATGCCATTTTCAAAACCAGTGGTTATCAGTAATATCTGAATATCAAAAAAATTATTAAAATGGTAATGATTTTTATAAATAGCAGAAAGAGTTTAGTTTTACATAAATAAATTTAAATTCGATGACGAGGAACCCACTTTGAGACTAATAATGGCTGGAGACGGCTTGAGTGGGTAATGAAGAAAAACTTTAATACAAGTTTAAC